CCACCTCCGGCATATGGGGCTGGCGCCCCACTCCTTCGAGCCACAGGTGCCGCCCTGGTGCCAGGGTTCTTTGACTGATTCCTCCCCATATGTATTTTGAACTTATTTATATATTTATTATTTTTTTAAAGCTAGAATGTTACATTATCCTTAATTGTTATTAAGAGATAGTCTAGTTGGTGTCCTTTAGGAAGAAAGCAGGAGATTCTTGGGACCTGATTGATGGAGCCTGGGCTGATTGAGTGTAGAACCTATCTGCTAGCAAGTGTGCCATTCAACTCTCTCTGGGGAATTATGGATGTTAGGTCAAGAGGCTTTGTGGTATCACCAGCTTCCCCAATGTGCAAAGCTCTCCACACCTCTTTTAGAACTTGCCAATGTCTAGTGGCCAATCCTTGTTCTTCCAGCTGCTCAGCAAGTATTAAGGTCATTTTGCTGCCTATTTTGAGTCTGACTGGATCTCTAATTTGAGGAACTAGTGTCAAGTTCAGGCACCTCAGGGTGTGGACCTTGGCCCATCCCTTTGAGGACCCTCTGGAGCAAAGCAGCTGCTTGGTACACAGTTAACTTGTTCAGCAGGGATTTCGGGACATCTAGATAATAAAACACGCTGGATGATATTGGTTTCAAGGGTCCTGGACTGCACGTTTCACAGTACCTCTTTCAGGCACTGTCAAAGTGATGTGTTTGCTTGCTGTTATTCTGATCCACTCAGGATTTGAAGGCCATTTGGAATCTGAAACCAGCAGAATGAAATCAGATCCAGAGGCCACAGGATATAGACCTCACCACTAAGTTTTCAAATGAGCAGCTGATGATACCTGTGGCCCTTCTCCTACATGCCCTTCAAAAGCTCCCTTATGAATTTGCACCATGTTGGGATCCTCAAGGATTGGCCTTGCCTTCTCTCTCCTGGTTGGGGTGGGGCTGGGCCAGGACTTCTAGATGATGCTCCTAGGCTAGGGGCAACTCCCAAATAGTGAGGGGAAATGTTCCAGTCAGAGTGTCAGCCAGACCCCCAAACATATTCAAAAGCTGTGGCTTTCACCAAAGTCCAGTGCACAACAGATTTGAAATGCCACGGCTTTCACCTGCAGTTGGGAAAGAGGATTCTGCAGCTTGCTGTCTGCTTCCCAGTATTTCTCAGACCATGGTCATCTGAGGCCGGAGCCACCCCTCTCTAAGCCATCAGTTGTGGAGTTGAGGGATGATTCTCCAGGAGGAGCTTGTAGGGAGCTTCAGACAGATGCAGACCTACCCACTTTACAGGGTGTGAAAAGATCCCCCCAAATGGGAGACAGACTCAGCCAAGCCCCACACCTTGCCAATGATAGTGTAAGTGAGTCATAATTTCCTCCCACAGTGGGGGCAAGACACTCCTAGTTCACTGGGCCATACAATTGATAGGTCCCTCAGAGGTCACATCAGACATGTTTTGAGGGGCAAGATCTGTCTCCCTTTCATCCCCTGGATGGCTATGGATCCCACCATTTGCCAATGACAGCGAAAGTTATCTATGTAATCCTTGTTTTCATTCCACTGTGGGGGCTGGTTAAGGTCTAAAGCTCCTTCACCTCTCTGTTGCCTTGGTGTGTGGCAGCCCCTGTAGGTTGCCTGAGCTGGGATAGCACTATTTGGAGTAGCCCACATGGGATTGACCCGCCTCAGCAAGGGTCAATCTGTTGGCAATGAAAGAAAGAGTGGGGGATGGGCTGTGGTCATAAGGTGATTGTACCCAAAATTCTTCACTATTCTCTCAGGCAAGACAGCAACCCAGAGGAGGATACTCCTAGGTGTAGAAAAACTGGATCTTTGTTTTTTCACGGCACTCTACTGTGGGATGAGAGATTCTGTGTTTAGCTGCTTATGGAGAACTCCCAGGTGGAGGAGGGACTCCCCTTACTCTTCCTTTCAGGTCTAGGCTCCTCTGAATTCTTTCCCTTCCTCTTTTTTGTCTTCATCCTCAGATTATTTCAGTGGGGTTCCTGAATGCCTTAATTTCCTCTCCCTGTGGTCTACTCCCCCCAATTTCAACTGCTGTTTCATTTCAGTACAATTTTCCTCTTTCTGGATGGACCCTTCTAAGGAATGCTGCCTCTAGTCATCCAGACTGTTCCCTCCTCTGTCCTTGTGTCTTTTAATATTTGACTATCTTATATTTTGTTATGCTTCTCGTTGTTTTATACTACTTGAGGTTTGTTAGTTTTTTGATGTACATATTAATGTTTTCATTAATTTAGTGATTTTTAAGTCATTTTTTTTGCATTTTCTTATTCTTTTTTTCTCTCTTTTCTTTCTGGTATTCATATTACTTACTTAATAACGTTTCACATTTCTCTAAGGTGCTATTCAATTTTTTTAAAAATATTTTTTCTTACTACTTCAGACATTTTAGCTTATATTAATTAGTATTCAAATTGATTAATTCTTTTTCTGCCTGCTCAAATCTACTGTTAAGATTTTCTACTGAATTTTCTATCTTAATTATGATACTTTTAAACTCCAATATTCTCATTGGATTTCTTTTTATTATTTCTGTAACTTTTGATATTTGATGAGAAACTCTCATCATACCTTAAATTCTTTCAACATTACTTCATTTAGATTTTTGATCATATCTAATAACTCATTAGATATCTTTTTTTCCTAATTCAAAATCTAATCTCTTCAAATGCATTTTTTTGGTTCATCTTCCATTTTTTTCTTATGTCTGGGTCACATATTTCTGTTTCTTTGCATGTCTCACAATATTTTTTCAAAATTGCAATTGTGGATAATACATTACACCAACTCTGAATAGTGATTTCCTCTATTGTTGTTCTCTGGTGTTCTTGTTTTTATTATTATTTTCTTGCTTGCTTAATGACTGTGCTATCTATTATAGGGAAGTCTATTTCTCCCATAGTGTGTAGTCTCTGATGTTGCTCATTATAGGCTGAAGCCTCATGTATTTACATAGTTTCTGTGAAAACAAAATGTGACTGTGGTGTTAGGTGGACTCTCTTTGAATGTTATTTCTTTAACCACCTTATTATTCTGACCTCTTTGTTTCGTTTATATCATACTTATCTATTAACTTTATTCTACTGATAGATAATGGTTCTATTACCTTTGACCTCTCCATTTATGCCCTGTGACATAAATTTCTGCATAGTCTGAGTCCACTGAATTCAGGCCCTCTGACCAAGGAAGGGTATTTTCAGCCTTTGAGGCTTTCTCTGATCCTACTTTGGATAGAAATTTAAAGCTCCTTAGCTGGAAATGGAGAAAGGAGAATAAGGAACTCACGCTTCCTGGTTTTTCCACTCAGATTTTCCCTATATAACAAGATATGTGGTGTGTGTGTGCGTGTGTGTGTGTGTGTGTGTAGGTATATGAAAACTAGTGCCATCATGTTGCTGCTGCTGCACTGCATGTATTTTTTGCAGCTTCCTGCCATATATAGTGGAATCTGCCAATGTTGACCACCTTCTAAGGCTGCCAGGAATTGTTATTCTGCCACAGAAAGCTGTAGTTATAGGAGTTCCTTTTCAGTTGTGAAGCCCATTGGAAGAGTTTTCCTACCACAGAGAGTTATATGGTAAAGGGGGATTGTAATCTATACAGCTTCCTCATGTAAATTCTCATTATTAGCTGCCCTATATGGATCCTCATACAAAATAAAAGTTTTAAGTGGAGAAATTGGTATCACCAGGCTGCTAATATTTGCCCAGTTGGATCCATGACATAGAGATTTGGCAAATAGAATGTGCCAATGTTCTCTGGCTGATAAAACTACATTGAATAACTCTTATATACTAGTGAGCTGTAGAAGACATGAACCATAATTTAACATGACATTCCACTGAAACAGTTATTTTATAGGGCAGAGCTAAGGGAGTAATGAGTTCCTGGATTGAATTCCTCAGCCTCCACCTGTTGTTATGTTCTATAGGTCTTGCTGAACAAATGATTTTCAATTTTTTAAGCTTTTTGACCAATCTTCAGAGACATTGAATGATTTCCTTACAAAATTTTTGTCAAATAATAGATAACTTTTGGGCAGCACCTGTGGCTCAAAAGGGTAGGGCACTGGCCCCATATGCCAGAGGTGGTGGGTTCAAACCCACCCCTGGCAAAAAAAAAAAAAAAAATAGATAACTTTTTAGGAAAAGTTACCCTGAGTTTCTCACACTGCCATTCTGGAAGTTTATCACCTCTAAATATATTTAAGTGTACTGATGAAAAAATACTGTAGTTCATGTGCATCCAAAAATACTTATTTTCCTTCATTTTAAAATGATACTTTAGATGACTGTAGAATTTTGCATAGATCACTAATGTCATTAAGTATTTGAAAATATTCATGTTGTCCTCTGCTTTATGTTTTTTTTAAAAATTCAGTTGTTAGTCTTCCTGGGCTTCTGATATGCTTTTCTTTTTCTTTTTAAAGAGTCTTATATATATTTGGGTAGCATTGAAAAATTTATCGTGTTTGTGGTTTTAAAAGCTTATTAAATCTATGGGATGATATCTTTCAACAGTTTTGGAACTATTTCATCTTTTTGTTGACCAGACACTACTGCTACCTTATTATCTGGTCTTCTCTCTATGATTAAATTTGTATAAAATATAGACTGTTTTTTGAGTCCCATCTTTCTATTATACTTATTTCTGTATTTTCCAGATTTTATTTCTGTCTTGGATAATTTCTAAAGGATATATTTTGGTTTGATAACAGTGTTCACTGAGTACTTAACTCATCTAAATTACTTTCATTTCATTTATTATAATTTTAAGTGTTAGAAATCCTCCATAAATCACTGACTCTACTTTCATAGATTCTACCTTTCTCACAAAATTAATTCTTTATATATATATATATACACACACATATATATATATATTTAATCATAGCTGTGTACATTAATGTGGTCATGGGGTACAGTGTACTGGTTTTATATACAATTTGAAATATTTTCTTCAAACGGGTTAACACAGCCTTCATGGCATTTTCTTAGTTATTGTGTTAAAACATTTATATTCTAATTTTAGAGTTTCACATGTACACTTGTAAGATACACCATAGGTGTGGTCACACCAATCACCCTTCCTCCACCCATCCTCCCCCCCTTTTCCCCTTTCCCCATATTCTTGGGGTATAATTGGGTTATAGTTTTCATATAAAAGCCATAAATTAGTTTCATAGTAAGGCTGAGTACATTGGATACTTTTTCTTCCATTCTTGAGATACTTTGCTAAGAAGAATATATTCCAGCTCCATTCATATAAACATGAAGGAGGTAAAGATTCTACCGTTCTTTAAGGCTGCATAGTATTCCATGGAGTACATATACTACAATTTATTGATCCATTTGTGGGTCGATGGGCACTTGAGCTTCTTCCATGACTTAGCAATTATGAATTGGAATGCAATAAACATTCTGTTACAAATATCTTTGTTGTAGTGTGATTTTTTGTCTTCTAGATATATACCTAATAAAGCAATTACAGGATCAAATGGCAGGTCTATTTTTAGTTCTCTAAGTGTTCTCCAGACATCTTTCCAAAAGGAACATATTAGTTTGCATTCTCATCAGCAGTGCAGAAGTGTTCCCTTTTCTCCACATCCACGCCAGCATCTCTGGTTTGGGATTTTGCGATATGGGCTAATCTTACTGGAGTTAGGTGATATCTCAAAGTAGTTTTGATTTGCATTTCTCTAATGATTAAGGATGGTGAGCATTTTTTCATAAATCTGTAGGCCATGCACCTATCTTCTTTAGAGAAATTTCTCTTCAAGTCCCTTGCCCACCCTGAGATGGGATCACTTGTTTTTTTCTTGCTAATACATTTGCCCATTCTGAGGGATGTCTGCTTGCTTTACTTACTGTGT